AGGGGAGGAGAGGGGCCCTGGAGGAAGAGGCCCATGGCCCCCCACCTGGCTTGGTGACTTCTGCAGGCCACCAGACCCGCAGTCACACACCTCCTGTGGGGGACACGGCCGTGACCGTGGGGCAGCAGGGAGCCGGGCCTTTTCCCCAGGTCAGGGCTTCCTCCTCTTGCTCCGGCCTCAGTCTGGGGGACCCTCGTTAGTTCCCCAGGTTCCTCCCGAGCCTGGGAGGGAGCCGCGGCCCTGAGGGCTCCTCTGGGTCCTCCTGGCCCTCGGGGCCCAGGGGTCCTGCACCTCCGCCCCCGCTCACCTGCTCCTCCTCTTGCACCTGCAGAGCAACGACGCCTCAGGGAACACCTGGAACTGGCTGTACTTCATCCCCCTCATCATCATCGGCTCCTTCTTCATGCTGAACCTCGTGCTGGGCGTGCTGTCGGGGTGAGTCCTCCACCTCCCTGTGCCCCCGCCTGTCCCCAGGGCACACCAGCCTCCCTACAGCTCGCCAGCCTCCCCAGATCTCCAGCCTCCCCACAGCTCGCCAGCCTCCCCACAGCTCGCCAGCCTCCCCCAGATCTCCAGCCTCCCCCAGATCTCCAGCCTCCGTTCCCACCCACCAGGTAACAGCACACCCCGGCTCTCCCCGGGGGTCTTTAGACCGTCCTTGGCAAGCCACACGCAGCAGCGGGCTGTGCCCCGCGAGGGGCAGGGTGAGGGCCACAGGAGCCTTCCTGCCTGGCACTCACACTTTTCACCAAAAAATAAATAAATAAATAATGACTTGGGTTCCTCTTCTCCCGTTTTCCAATCATAATATCCTACGAGACGATCAGAAAGTTTTTTCCTAGCCAGGGAAGTGGCTCCCGCCTGTCATCCCAGCAGCTCAGGAGGCCGAGGCAGGAGGTCTGTGGGTTCAAAGCCAGCCTCAGCCTTGGCAAGGCGCTGAGCAACTCAGGGACACTCTGTCTCTAAGTAAAATACAAAAACTTATTTTCCTGCCATAAAGAGGCTCTGAATCCCATTTTTTTGG